TAAAGTGCATGTGCACGCACACACCTACTGTTCTTATATCCTAGGAATGCAGGGATTCAGAGGAAGAAATCCTGCCCTCTGTTCTTAATGTAAATACAGTCTGGATTTCAGCTAAGCTCTGTTCTGGCAAACATGGTACCACGGGCAGATAGTTTTCACAGATGATTCTGTTGGGTCCTGGGAGGTATTTGCATTTTCGACTCTAGCTTACTAGCTCTTTGACCTCTGAGTAAGTATTTATCCCTCGTGACCCTCAGCATAAAATCCTCACTCCTTCCCCGGACGTTATAGGGCTGACATTGGCTGGCCTCTCCCTACCTCTCTAAACTTAACCTCAGTCATCTTCTGCTCACTCAGGTCCACATGCCGTGCCGGCCTCATTTATCCCTCCACCTTGCCAAGCTCACCCCTGGCCTTGGGTTTTGCACTACGTGTTCTGCCTAGATGGCTCTTGGCCCAGAGCTGTGCTTGGCTGGCTCTTACTTGCCAGTCAGGGCCGCATCTAGAGCAGCCCCTCCCCAAGCCATAGTCACAGCCTGCTGTATGGTTTTCACTGCATGGACAGCATATGCTTTTTGTGTGTCCCTCCACACCCTCCGCACCCCCAGGATCGCAAGTTCCCCTGAATCCTACCTCCCACCCCCTGCACCTAAACAGTACCTGTCACACGATACTTGTTCCCTAATAAATGAATGAACGGATGAGTCAATGAATAGATGTAAGGTTTCTGGCACACCGATGGTGCTTCTTGGGTATCTGGTTGCAGGGGTTGGGGAAGCACTGAGAAGACCTCAGGCCTCACTGGTTCCCAATCACTGGGACCGCCCCCCCCCACAGTGGGCGATGGGCTTTTCTAGGATTCTGTTGCTAACTCCTCAAACACTCCTTACTATTTCCAATCCCCACGCCTTTGCTCCTGCCATTTCCTTCACCTGGCCTGCCCTCTACTGATGCCTCTGACTGTTGAAATCTTGCTCGGCCTTCAAGGCCCAACTCAGATTCTCCCTTAACTCAGATGGAAGGATTTTCTCCCTCCTCTGAGCTCCTGCAGACTTCTGGCTATACTCCATGTGGCAAAAACACGTGGTCCCCTAGATTGAAAGCACCTTGAGGACAGAACATCTGTATTCCTTTTTGGTAACCCCCAGCACAGAGCAAGAGCTCGACAGACATCCCAGACTGAACGACAGTGGAAGGATTGGCTGACGGCTGGATGGACACGATGGTAGATGGCTCAAGTTGTGACTCACAACAGGGGACTACCTTGCATCCTTAGACAGCCTTAGCCAAGGTCTGATTCCAGTTCAGACTTTGCCTTTTTCTAGCTGGGACTTGAGGCAAATTCCTTTATCACTCTGGGCCTCAATTTACATGTCTGTAAAATGGAGACAACAGTAGTAACCTCACAGTAACTCAGAGGTTATTTCGAGAAATAAATGGGTTAGTGTTTTGAAGTGCTTGGTACAATGACTAGCACACACACAAATACTGAAGAAATGTCAACAAGTATTATATGGACACAGGCCTGAGCCTAGTCTGGGCCTCCTCTTTCCCACTTCAGGGCCCAGGGGCATGGAGGTAAGCTCAGGATCCACTACAGAGAGCAGGGACTCAGGAGGAATTCACGACGGGGCCCTCCTTGCCCACATTCACTCATTTGACAAGTATTTGTTGAACACCTACTATGTGCCAGGTACTGGGGGTTCTGCATGGAGAAAGACAAAGTCCCTGCCTTCACGGAGCCTACATTCTAATGTCGGGGGGTCAGAGAATAAATAGAAAATAAAGGGATACAGGGCTTCCCTGGTGGCGCAGTGGTTGAGAGTCCACCTGCCGATGCAGGGGACGCGGGTTCGTGCCCCGGTCCGGGAATATCCCACATGCTGCGGAGCGGCTGGGCCCGTGAGCCATGGCCGCTGAGCCTGCGCGTCTGGAGCCTGTGCTCCGCGACGGGAGGGGCCACAGCAGTGGGAGGCCCGCGTACCACAAAAAAAAAAAAAAAAAAAAAAAAAGGGATACATCATTTCAGATAGCGAAAGCCCTTTAAATAACAGGTTTTTGTAATAAAAATGACCGGTGCTGCTCAGAGAAGCCTTTTCTGAGGAGGCGGATTTCAGCTGACATGTAAGAAGTGAGAGGGAGGCCTCTGGGAGAAGAACATTCCAGGCAGGAAGATGAGCAATTTGAGGAAGAGAGAGGCTGGAGGGGAGCAAATAAGAGGGTAGGATACGGGCCAGGAGCGCCCGACGACTCGTGGCTAAGCTGAGAGGTTTGGGTTTTATTTTAAGTTTGACGAGAAGCCTCTGTGGGGTTTTAAGCAGGGTAGTGATCTTATGTTTGGAATAGATCGTCCTGGAGTTTGGGTGAAGAACGATCTTGGGACGCAGAGAACAGACTTGTGGTTGCCAAGGGGGAGGTGGAGGTGGGTGGGGGATGGGCTGGGAGTTTGGGATTAGCAGATACAAACTATTATATAGAGAATGGATAAACCACAAGGTCCTACTGTATAGCACAGGGAACTATATTCAATATCCTGTGATAAACCATAATGGAAAAGAATATAAAAAAGAATGTACATATATGTACAACTGAATCACTTTGTTATACAGCAGAAATTAACACAACATTGTAATTCAACTATAGTTCAATTAAAAAAAAAAAAAGGATGGTCTGGGGAGGAGTAGGGATGGGAGAGAAACGGTGGCGGCCAGGACCAGAGTGGAGGTAGTGGAAAGCGATTCCATTCAGTGTACTTTTGGCGAAAACACTGGTCAACAGGACCTGCTGGTGCTTGTGGAAGTGAAGGAAAGAAAGGCATCAGGAATGGCTCTGAGGTGGACGGTTGAGTCATATCTTGAGGAGTAAGATCGCAGGGAGAGTCGGCTGGGATGAGTAATCAGGGTTGTGATCTGGATATGCCAACGTGTATGCTGCATAAAAGAAAATGTTCAGGGCTTCCCTGGTGGCCCAGTGGTTGGGAGTCCTCCTGCCGATGCAGGGGACACGGGTTCGTGCTCCGGTCCGGGAAGATCCCACGTGCCGCGGAGCGGCTGGGACCGTGAGCCATGGCCGCTGAGCCTGTGCGTCCGGAGCCTGTGCTCCGCAACGGGAGAGGCCACAGCAGTGAGAGGCCCGCGTACCGCAAAAAAATAAAAAATAAAAAAAAAGGAAATGTTCAGGGGGGAGGTGTCCGGTGTTAGTTGGATAATACAAGTTTTGGAAATTAGAGCTGGGGTTTCGGATGGGGGAATCATCAGCACAGAGATGCTTTTTAAGGCAGGAGACAACAGGTCACCGGCAGGCGAGGATAGGGAGAAGGAGCCGGGAAAAGTGGCCAAAGGAAAAGGAAAACCAGGAGAAGCCAAAAGAAGACAGCATAGCAAAGAGGAGGTGACCAGCTGTGACAGCCGCTGCCGAGGGGGTGAGGGAGGTGAGCATGGAACAGGCGTTTGGTGACACGGACGCTGGTGGGAACTTGACAAGAGCCCTATCGGTAGGTAGAGTCTTGGAGACTGGATCTGTCTGTCTAAGGAGAGACGGGTAGTGTAGTCAGTCTCTGAGGCCTTCTTTTGGGAGAGAGAGCAGAGAAAGGAGGTATCGGTGGAGGGACTGTGGGATCGAAGGACGGTTTGTTTGTCTTTTCGTGTGAGAGGGATTAGAGCTTGTTTGCATGCTGATGGGAGAGATGAGACAAAGAGGGAAAGGTTGATGATGCTGGAGAGGAGAGGATAATTACAGGAGCAAAGTCCTTGAGAGGGACTGGTAGCCAGGGCCCCAGAGGAGGGGCTGGCCTCCACAGATGGAACCTGGGACAGTTCATCTGAGTCAGGACAGGGGAGACAGCATCTGTAGGCGGGAAGCAGGCGGCAGGGAGGGGTACAGCACAGGGAAGACGGGGGCTCCTGACACATCGCACTCCCACAAGGAGGCCTGGCTTCTCATCCTGACTCGGGCTTTCCTGAGTGACCGAGGGCAAGTTTCTAAATCTTTCTGGGCTGTACCTTCTTGGGGAGTAAAATGGGCATCACAGTTCCTGTCTGTCCTTCCTTCCGGGATTAACACACTTGGCTCAGCCTGTCTGGAAACTGATCTGATGGGTCCCTAGCATAGAGATGCCACTGGCTTTGGCCTGGGATGAGGGTCATCTCATAGGTCAGCCAGGCCCTGTCACCTACCAGGAGCTGTGCCACTACCTCCCTAGTTCCTTACCCTTCTGGGATACCCTGAACAAAAATCTGGCCTCGATTTCCCTGTCTGTGACCAAAGGAAGCAAATGGCTCAATGGGCAAGTGAGGGTGGGGTGGCGGGTGTGGGGTGAGGCCAGGGCCAGGATTAGGTCTCAGCCTTCCAGAGGCAGGCAGCACAGGCTTTGTAGCCAGACCACACCCCCAGCTCTGCCACTGCCTAACTATGCCACTTGCCAGAGGGAGGTTTCCTGTGAAGCTTGGACTTCAAGGCCACCTCCTGGACCTACCCTTCCCGAAGTCCCGTGTTAATTTTAGATTCAAAGTTTTGTCTTCTTTTACTTACAAGGGGGGCCCCAAAGTGTATACTATCTGACCTCCAGAAAACAGGATCGGCCCTGGGGTTTTGGGTGACTTCACTTCACTTTCCCCATCTGTAAGATGGGAGTCAGACCTGCGTCATAAGATGGGGGAGAGGGTTCCTGGGTACATGGTACAGGGTGTGCAGTGGGGGCGCCCGTAAATGAGAGCCGAAGTTATGACTCCCGCTGCTTGCATGGGGGTGGGCGGAGGGAGTAGATACCAAGTGCACCTAAGCAATTCACGTTGGGCTCCTACTACTGGGTGCCGAACAAAAAGCCCCCATTGACCTCTTACTCCTCAGGCCTCAGGAGGACCAGGTGGTGAGAGCCTAGGCTGTCAGGCTAGGAGGGATGAATGGGTGATGCTGGTCCTAAGGATGCCCAACCCCAGGGCCAGACGGCCCCTCCCCTGCTCCCTTGGAGCTTCTCTGTGCCCAGGACCCCACGTCCTTACCTTAGTCGGGATGAGGATGGGCAGAGGCAGCAGGAAAATGGGTAGGAGGAATACAATCAGGTAGAAGCGGTAGGCCCACAGGCCCTGCCAGCAGGTGGCCATGGTGTGGATCCACGTGGGCTGCCGGGTCACCCTCCAGATCCAGGGAGCTGCAGGACCGACAGTGTAGCAGGTAGGCGGCTAGGCAGGCTTATATAAAGCAGCTGGAGGGTTAACCATTGACCCACCCTGGCAATCAGAGTGTTTTTAGAGTCCGGGAGGTGACAGTAGGAAGAGGGATCTGCAGGGAGTGTAAAGATCAGGAAGACTTTGCAAACAAAGGGAGGAGGGCAAGATCCAGGGATAAAGCCTTCAGTTCCTTTCAAGAAGTTGAGCCCAGAGCTAATTCCTTCTGTGTGTGGGCTACTGAGGGCTGAATATGGAAGGAGCAGGAGAAGGAAGGGTGCCTGGGAAGCCCCACAGCCGGCATCCAGGGAGCAAGACCAAGAGCACGCTCCCCAGCCTGGTCCCCCCCTCTCTTACTCCTCCAAAGAGGAGTTCTCTGAGCAGTTTATACAGGGCCTTGGCTGGGGCAGCCCAGCCTCCAGAGACATCCTGCCCTCTGGGGGTTTCCAGTCTAGGACTGAGGAAGGGCTGGAGTAAGCCCTTCTCCGTCCAGGTATCAAGGAAACTGTCAGAGCCACTGGAACTGACCAACTCGTATTCACTGTGTGCTGTGTGATGCACTGACAATTATTCTTTTGGCTGCACTGCGCAAAATGTGGGATCGTAGTTCTGCGACCAGGGCTTGAACCTGCTCCCCCTGCACTGGAAGTGCGGAGTCTTAACCACTGGACCGCCGGGGGAGTCCTCTGCAAGGACTTAATTTGGGAACAGCCACTTCCTTGTTGATGTGTTGATGTATGATAGGGATACAGTAAAGGCTCACTTTACTGTAGGTTCTTCCTGGCCCCCCACTCCCAACCCCAAGCTCCCATGGAACACCGGCAAAGATTGTTTCACATTTTGGAAACACATTTAATCTCTCCAACCATCCATCCGTCCACCTATCCACCAAACAAGTATTTGACACTGATTCTATCAACAGCCCTGGACTCGGTGTTAAGGATGCAGAGAGATTAAAGTGCTGCTGGTAATAGTTGACATTTGTTCAGCCTTCAGTACAAGCTTATTAGTTTACTATTTCATTTACTCTGTACAACCACACCAGGAGTTAGGTGTTACTATTCCATTTTACAGTTGGGGTAACCGAGGCCCCAAGACACAAGCCAGCCAGAATTCAAACATGCTTTAGGAGTGCCCTGGGGAGGTCCAAACCAGCATGGCAACTCCAGGTGAAAGGAAACAGTAGGAGTATTGAGCAAAGGCTCTTGGAAAAGGTGACACCTCAGTGAAGACTTGAAGGTTGAGTCTAATTTGGCCCCAAGGTGACAGAGGTATGATCACGAGCAGCGGCAAGAGTGAACCAAGACCTGGAGGATGGAGTGTGTGGATCTATCTACCCAGAGCCTCTGTCTCTTGCTACCCTCCCACCTCCCCACCCCAAACAGCTCAGCGTAGAAGCTCAATCCATATTTCTGTTGATTATTCAAGTGTGATGATCTGTGTGCCAGGACAGGAAGGCAGGGTGTCTCAGGGAGATGGTTTCAGGAAGTCAACACAGCCTGGGCAAAGATGTGAAAGGAAGAAGTCTCTGAGTAACCGGTTGGAAAGTGAGTGTGTGGGACCAGGTCTGAGAGCTGGTGACCACGTTTCCAGGGAGTACAGCAGCTTGGCCTGGGCGGCGATGCCAATGAGATTCTCCTGGAGCCAGTGAGGTCTGTGTGACACAGACCCCCCGACCTCGCCCCGACCCCAGGGCCCTCTGCAGGGTGGGCAGAGAGCTATGCATGGATCCAGGTCAAAGGGCTCCTGAGGCCAGGCTGGGTGGGAAGCTACAGTGCAACAAGACGGACTGCCCTACCCCATCCCCCTGCCCAGCCCCCATTCAGGCTATTTATGGCCTTTCCACTCCCACGAAGGCAACCTGCCACCTGCCCAGGGCAAGGTGAGGAAGAGTCCAGAAGCACGGGGAGAGACAAAGGGTTTCAGAGACTTAAGACATTCCCTGATTTTGTCTCACCCTTGGAGAAGGCCTCTCCCCTGGCCTGCGGCTCTGGAGGAGCCACAAGGGGAGCAGGGCTGAGCCTCCCCCAGAGGAACAACATCCACTATGTGTGTAATCTGCATCCCAGTTTACCCAGCTCTCCACACCAACCCTGTGATATAGGCTCAGAGCAGTGAAGTCCCTTGCCAGGGTCACACAGCGCATGCGAGCTGAGAGAGAACCCGATTCACATCCAAGACCATCCATGCTCTTTGCTCACCCTCCAGGCCCTGGGTCCCTGTGATGGTGCCGGGACAAAACTCAATTTTTCCAAATTAGATGGCCCCTGTGGGGGAATAGCTCAGTGGTAGAGCATTTGACTGCAAATTAGATGACCACTCTTTCACCGAGACCCCCCGGCTTTGTACGTACAGCCCCCTTCAAAGTCACAGACTCTTGGGACCCTTGCTGACTCTCTTCTGCGGACTGGTGTAGGGGGACTATCACATCGCCAGCAGCCAGGCCCCACCAGTGACTAATTCGTCTCAAAGGCGGGAAGTCTCCATCTATCACGTGTGTTCCAAGAACTTTCCCTTGCCCGGCAATCACAGGCAGGGCCCTTCTCTACCAGGCTTAGTTCAGTTCTCATTTACCCCACTTCCTTTTCCTTCAGTTGACGCTATAAATAGCTATTCTTGTTTTTGTGGCCCCTTAAGGACTGTGGCAGGTGCTGGGACTCTCCTTCTTCTGTCCTTGTCACCCTTTGGGTGACAGGCGTCAGCACTATCTCAGGGAGGGGTGCCCTGTGACCATTGACCCTCCTTGAGCAGTTCATCTAAGAATAGCTGAGGAAGCCCTAGGGTGAGAGGAGATGCTTTCTGGCTCACAAGAACCGGTTTATCCTCAGGAGCAGTTGGCAGATAAGCTGGAGGTAGAGCCGGGGCTGAGGCTGTGGCCCAAAGGTGAGCTTTAGGAAGTTCACACCTGGACATGGGAGCCAGCCGTTCAGACAGAGGCTCCTGAGGAACTGGGTTGAGCAGGTTGGGGCTGGGGCCCACAGGGGTACAACCTAAGTGGACCTGGAAAGACAGGGATGGCTGGACACAGCAGGGAGCCCCAGGAATGATTTGTGAGACCTGAGACTACCCAGCCTGGAGGAGAGAAGACAGTGTGTGAGGGTTGTCTTCAAATCCTTGATTGAAGATAGAGGGCAGAGGTATTCTCAAGGACAGAGAGAGACCACAGGTAGCAGGGTTAGGGAGCGTCACGGGTGCTATTTTCAAGGAATCCCCACCCCCAAGGGAAAAAACAGAGCTGGGTGGAAGGTGATGCATTCCCCAGCACCGGAAGTGCTCCTCCTGGGTGGCTGGCTTGCCCTGAGACAATAGTGTGATGTGGACAGGGTCCCACACTGTGCAAGGGGCCGAGCATCTTGTTCACCCAGAATCTGACTCCAGGGGCCCTGATCTCTTCCCCTGTCTTCCACTGCCTCTCAAACTGGGTCCTCTCATTTTGTCTTACACATGTTCACATCCCCCCTCAACACCTTGCGAGGTACTTAAACAACCCTACAAGATCCTCTCCTTGCGTTCCTCTGCCTCCGCTCTTACCACTCCTGCCTCAGCTCTTAACACTCCTCTTACCAAACAGTTGGCTCAACTGTTTTCAGATCCTCAACTGCATTTTCTACGATCTCCAGGGAGTTGTCTATGCCCTTGCTTCTCTCAGACACATTCTCCCTGCATCTCTCCCCCAACTTTACTGGTTAAGTCTTATTAACCTTTCAAGTCTCAGACTAAAACTAAACTTCCTTCGTGAACTCTCATCACAGGGTGAAAGAGAAAGCAGTTGCAGTTGCACTGCTCTGAAGTTAGCGCTAGAAGACAGCACATATCACACTGCATTTTATTCTCCTGTTAACCTCCCTACATCCCCCACCAGAGTAGGTTCCATGAAGTCAGGGTCTGTCTGTATGTGTGTCCATATGCACCTCTTCAGCCTCTTGAGCTGATACTCAACAAATACATTTTGAAACAATGGATGGGTAGATGGATGAATAGATGGGTGGATGGATGGATGGGTGAGTAGATGGGATGTCCATAGGATAATTTACAAGGTTCATACCAGAGAGCCAAGCCCTCCTTCCAGCATGTTCTGAAGCTGGTCCCTGGATCTTCAGATAGGACAGATGCAGGTCATTGGTCAGGCAACAAGGCAAAGAAGTGGATGGGTTTTTACCACGATCAAGACTATAAAGATGGGGCTTCCCTCGTGGCACAGTGGTTGAGAGTCTGCCTGCCGATGCAGGGGACACGGGTTCGTGCCCCGGTCCGGGAAGATCCCACGTGCCGCGGAGCGGCCGGGCCCGTGAGCCGTGGCCGCTGAGCCTGTGCATCCGGAGCCTGCGCTCCGCAACGGGAGAGGCCACAACCATGAGAGGCCCGTGTCGCAACAAAACAAAACAAGACAAAAAAAAAACCTCTTTTCTATTCCTGTTACAGGTTGTTTATTGAGCATTTCCAACGATAACAATATTTGCCTGTAGACAAATTAATAGATTTCTTTTGACAGTTCTTTGTATATTACAGAAGTGGATTCACACAGTAGGTACTCGTTTGTCTCTGATTTCTTTCCCTCAGTGTTATGTTGGTGAGATTCACCCATATTGTTGCCTATAGTTGTAGTTCATTCATTCTTGCTGTTTATAATATTCCCTTGTGTGTATACCCACAGTTTCTCTGTTTTGCTCCTGATAGACATTTGAGTTGTTTCCAGATATTTGGCTATGTTGTCAAGACTTGATATTCACCTCTAGCTAGTCAGGTATTGTAGTAACATTGTATTGTGGTCTCATTTTGCAATTGCTGGTGACAAATGAAGTTGTGCAATTTCTCATATGTTTATCAGCCCATTTGAATATTCTCTTCTGTGAAATGTCTGTACAAGTCTTTTGCCCATTTAAAAAATTACATTTTTCTTATTGATTTTTAAGAGTTCTTTATATATCCTAGATGTGAGTCCTTTGCCAGACAAATGTATTACAAATATCTTCTATTCTATGGCTTGCATTTTCAC